GAAGGGGGATGGTAGGTGGGGGGGGTACGGAAGAGGGAAGGGTAGGTGGGGGAGGGTAGAAGAAGAGGGGAAGGTAGGTGGGGGAGGTAGGAAGGGGGAAGGTAGGTAGGGCGGTAGGGTAGGAAAGAGGGGATGGTAGGGGGGGCAGGGTAGGAAGAGGGAAGTAGGGTTGGGGTAGGTAGGAAGAGGGAAGGTAGGTGGGGATAGGGTAGAAGAGGGGAAGGTAGGTGGGGTAGGGTTGAAGAGGTGGAAGGTGGTGGGGAGAGGGTAGGGAAGAGGGGAAGGTAGGTGGGGGAGGGTAGGAGGGGAAGGTAGGTGGGGTAGGGTAGGAGAGGGGAAGGTAGGTGGGGGAGGGTTAGGGAAGAGGGGAAGGTAGGTGGGGTAGGGTAGGAAGAGGGGAAGGTAGGTGGGTAGGGTAGGAAGAGGGGAAGGTAGGTGGGTAGGGTAGGAAGAGGGGAAGGTAGGTGGGGGAGGTAGGAAGAGGGGAAGGTAGGTGGGGGAGGGGTAGGAAGAGGGGAAGGTAGGTGGGGGAGGGTAGGAAGAGGGGAAGTAGGTGGGGTTAGGGTAGGAAGAGGGGGAAGGTAGGTGGGGGAAGGGTAGGAAGAGGGGAAGGTAGTGGGGTTAGGGTAGAAGAGGGAAGGCGTAGGTGGGGTTAGGGTAGGAAGAGGGGAAGGTAGGTGGGGGAGGGTAGGAAGAGGGGAAGGTAGGTGGGGGAGGGTAGAAGAGGGGAAAGGTAGGTGGGGTAGGGTTGGAAGAGGGGAAGGAGGTAGGTGGGGTTAGTTAGGGTGGAAAGAGTGGGAAGGTAGGTGGGGGAGGGTTGGAAAGGGAGAAGGTAGGTGGGGTAGGGTAGAAGAGGGGAAGAAGGTAGGTGGGGAGGGTAGGAAGAGGGGAAGAAGTAGGTGGGGAGGGTAGGAAGAGGGGAAGGTAGGTGGGGGTGGGTAGGAAGAGGGGAAGGTAGGTGGGGTAGGGTAGGAAGAGGGGAAGGTAGGTGGGGGAGGGTAGGAAGAGGGGAGTAGGTGGGGATGAGGGTAGGAAGAGGGAAGGTAGGTGGGGGAGGGTAGGAAGAGTGGAGGTAGGTGGGGGTTGGGGAGGAAGAGGGAAAGGTAGTGTGGGGGAGGGTGGAAAGAGGGGAAGGTAGGTGGGGTAGGGTAGGAAGAGGGAGAAGGTAGGTGGGGTAGGGTAGGAAGAGGGGAAGGTAGGTGGGGTAGGGTCAGGAAGAGGGGAAAGCGTAGTTGGGGGAGGGTAGGAAGAGGGGGAAGGTAGGTGGGGGAGGGTAGGAAGAGGGGAAGGTAAGGTGGGGCGAGGGTAGGAAGAGATGAAGGTAGGTGGCGGTAGGGTGGAAGAGGGGAAGGTAGGTGGGGGGAGAGGTAGGAAGAGGGGAAGGTAGGTGGGGGAGGGTAGGAAGAGGGGAAGGTAGGTGGGGGGAGGGTAGGAAGAGGGAAGGTAGGGTGGGGTAGGGTAGGAAGAGGGGAAGGTAGGTGGGGGAGGGTAGGAAGAGGGGAAGGTAGGTGGGGTAGGGTAGGAAGAGGGGAAGGGTAGTGGGGTGTGGGTAGGGTAGAAGAGGGAAGGTAGGTGGGGTTAGGGTAGGAAAGAGGGGAAAGGTAAGGTGGGAGGGTTAGGAAGAGGAGGAGGTAGGTGGGGGAGGGTAGTAAGTGGGGTAGGTTAGGTGGGGTGGGTAGGAAGAGGGGATGGTAAGGTGGGGAGGGTAGGAAGAGGGGAAAGGTGGTGGGGTAGGTAGGAAGAGGGAAGGTAGGTGGGGTAGGGTCGGAAGAGGGGAAGGTAGGTGGGGTAGGTGAGTAGGGTAGGAAGAGGGGAAGTAGGTGGGGAGGGTGGAAGAGGGGAAGTAGGTGGGGAGGGTTAGGGGAAGAGGGGACAGGTAGGTGGGGTAGAGGGTAGGAAGAGGGGAAGGTAAGTGGGGTAGGGTAGGAAGAGGGAAGGTAGGTGGGGGAGGGTAGAAGAGGGGAAGTTTAGGTGGGGTAGGGTAGGAGAGGGGAAGGTAGTGGGAGTGGGTAGGAAGGAGGGGAGTAGGTGGGGGAGGGTAGGAAGTGGGAAGGTAGGTGGGGGAGGGTAGGAGAGGGGATAGGTAGGTTGGGGTAAGGGTTGAAGAGGGGAGGGTAGGTGGGGCTAGGGTTGAAAGAGGGGAAAGGTAGCGTGGGGCGGAGGGTTGGATAGAGGGGAGGTAGGTGGGGTAGGGTAGGAAAGTGGGGAAGGTAGGTGGGGAGGTAGATGTGGGGAAGGTTAGGTGGGGGAGGGTAGGAAGAGGGGAAGGTAGGTGGGGGAGGTAGGAAGAGGGAAGGTAGGTGGGGGAGGGTAGGAAGAGGGAAGGTAGGTGGGGTAGGGTTGGAGGAAGGAGGGGAAGGTAGGTGGGGTAGGGTAGGAAGAGGGGGGGAAGGTAGGTGGGGGGGGTTGGAAGAGGGGAAGGTAGGTGGGGTAGGGTAGGAAGAGGGAGGGAAGGTAGGTGGGGAGGGTAGGAAGCGGGGAAGGTAGGTGGGGGAGGGTAGGAAGAGGGGAAGGTAGGTGGGGAGGGTAGGAAGAGGGGAAGGTAGGTGGGGAGGGTAGGACGAGGGGAAGGTAGCGTGGGAGGGGTTAGGAAGAGGGGAAGGTAGGTGGGGGAGGGTAGGAAGAGGGGAAGGAAGGTGGGGGAGGGTAGGAGCGGGCGAAGGTGGTGGGGGAGGGTTAGGTAGAGGGGAAGGTAGGTGGGGGAGGGTAGGAAGGGGGCAGGTAGGTGGGGGAGGGTCGGGAAGAGGGGAAGGAGGGGGGGAGGGTAGGGGACTAGGAAAGGGAAGGTAGGTGGGGGGGAGAGGGTAGGAGGAGGAAGAGGGGAACGGTTGGTGGGGTTAGGGTAGGAAGAGGGGAAGGAAGGGTGGGGGAGGGTAGGAGAGGGGAAGGTAGGTGGGGAGGGTAGGAAGAGGGGAAGGTTGGTGGGGTAGGGTAGGAAGAAGGGGAAGGAAGGTGGGGGAGGGTAGGAAGAGGGGAAGGAAGGGTGGGGGTATGGTTGGAAGAGGGGAAGGTAGGTGGGGGTTAGGGTAGGAAGAGGGGAAGGGTTGGTGGGGTAGGGTAGGAAGAGGGGAAGGAGGTGGGGAGGTAGGAAGAGGGTGAAGGTAGGTGGGGGAGGGTGGAAGAGGGGAAGGTAGGTCGGGGTAGGGTAGGGAAGAGGGGAAGGTTGGTGGGGTAGGGTAGAAGAGGGGAAGGTGGTGGGGAGGGTAGAAGAGGGGTAAGGTAGGTGGGGGAGGGTAGGAAGAGGGGAAGGTAGGTGGGGGAGGGTAGAAGAGGGGAAGTAGGTGGGGGGAGGGTTAGGAAGAGGGAGGTAGGTGGGGAGGTAGGAAGGGGGAAGGTAGGTGGGGGAGGAGTGCGTTAAGGAGGGGAAAGGGGAAGGTAGGTGGGGGAGGGTAGGAAGAGGGAGGTAGGTGGGTTGGGTAGGAAGAGGGGAAGGTTGGTGGGGTAGGAGTAGGAAGAGGGGAAGGTAGCGTGGGGAGGGTAGGAAGAGGGGGGAGGTAGGTGGGGGGAGGGTAGGAAGAAGGGGAAGGTAGGTGGGGGAGGGTAGGAAGGGGTGAAGGTAGGTGGGGGAGGGTAGGAAGGAGGGGAAGTAGGTGGGGTAGGGTAGGAAGAGGGGGGAATGTAGGTGGGGAGGGTAGGAAGAGGGAAGGTAGGTGGTGGTAGGGGTAGGATGAGAGGAAGGAAGGTGGGGTAGGGTAGAAGAGGGAAAGGAACGTGGGGTGGGTAGGACAGGGGAAGGAAGTGGGGTAGGGTAGGAAGAGGGGAAAGGTAGGTGGGGTAGGGTAGGAAGAGGGGAAGGAAGTGGGGTTAGGGTAGGAAGAGGAAGGTAGGTGGGTGTAGGGTAGGACGAGGGGAAGGTAGGTGGGGTTAGGGTAGGAAGAGCGGGAAGGTTGGTGGCGGTAGGGTAGGAAGAGGGGAAGGTATGGTGGGGTGGTAGGGTAGGAAGAGGGAAGGTTGGTGGGGTAGGGTAGGAGAGGGGAAGGTAGGTGGGGGAGGGTAGGAAGGAGGGGAAGGAAGGTGGGGTGGGGTTAGGGTAGGAAGAGGGGAAGGCTAGGTGAGGTGGTAGGGTAGGAAGAGGGAAGGAAGGTGGGGTGTGGTAGGGTTGGAAGAGGGGAAGGTAGGTGGGGTAGGGTAGGAAAGAGGGGAAGGTAGGTGGGGTAGGGTAGGCTAGAGGGGAAAGGTAGGCTGGAGTAGGGTAGGAAAAAGGGAAAGATAAGAGTGGGGTTTAAGGTACGGAAGAGAGGAAGGTAGTGTAGGATAGGGTAGGAAGAGGGCGGAAGGAACGATTTAGATAAATACATGAGGGGGTGTGGAGTGGGTGTGAGTTTAGACCTGACTAGCTTGTGCTGCTGGGTATGGTGCCCGTGTCCTTGAGTGGAGGTGACCATGGACTGGGTGGGGTTTTGGGCTAATCGGGGAAGGGGGACTGCACCTGCTCTGCATGGGTTAGTGGCCTGTTTGCAGTGTTCCTTCTTTCTTATGTTCTTATGTAAGGGGAAGGGAAGGAAGGCTGGGTAGGGGTAGGAAGAGGGGAAGAAATTGGAGTAAGGGGGGGGGAAGGAAGGTTGGTAGGATAGGAAGATGAGGGAGGAGAATGAAGGCGCGGAGGGTATTAGAGTAGGAAGAAGGGAAAGGACAAGGTGGGGCAGTATAGGAAGAAGGAAGGAAGGTGGAGTAGGATAGGAAAGAGGGGAAGGAAGGTGGCGGTAGAGTAGGAAGAGGGGAAAGGAAGGGGGGCAGTATAGGAAAGGGGGCAAGAAGGTTAGGTAGAGTAGGAAGAGGGGAAGGAAGGAGGGGAAGGAAAGGGGATGAGTATTAGGAGGGACAAGGGCAACAAGGGAAAACGAATGTATTCTTGTTTCTGAATTGTGAGTAAATCATACGTACATTTTTGTGTGTGTGTACTCACCTCTTGCATCATCTTAATTTGTATTCAACTGTTTGTATCACATACTTTATTCATCTGTTTGTTAATTCTCAAATATACTACCTATTATTTACAGGCGCCATGTCAGGTTGGCTTGGAGAACTGGGTCAACGCATTTCACAAGCGCCTGTGCTGCCAGCCTTCGCCAGACCAGAGGCAAGAAAGGCACGGCTACACCTCCTTCAGGAGGAAATCTTCAGAATTTGACAGAGCATCGAATCGGTCAGTTGCAATCTCCTTATTTTTTGAGCCATTAGCCAGGTGACTATTGTTTTGGAAACTCAGCTCACAGGAAATCTTGGCAAGGACCACTACCGTGTCTCCCCTTATTTTTACACACACAGTAATATTAATGACTTATTATACAATATATGTACAATATTACAGCACCATAAGCTCACATCTTTGACATACAATATAGAACGCCCTTGTTATTTACTGGGAGTTTACCTGGAGAGAGTTCCGGGGGTCAACGCCCCCGCAGCCCGGTCTGTGACCAGGCCTCCTGGTGGATCAGAGCCTGATCAACCAGGCTGTTGCTGCTGGCTGCACGCAAACCAACGTACGAGCCACAGCCCGGCTGATCAGGAACTGACTTTAGGTGCTTGTCCAGTGCCAGCTTGAAGACTGCCAGGGGTCTGTTGGTAATCCCCCTTATGTGTGCTGGGAGGCAGTTGAAAAGTCTCGGGCCCCTGACACTTATTGTATGGTCTCTTAACGTGCTAGTGACACCCCTGCTTTTCATTGGGGGATGGTGCATCGTCTGCCAAGTCTTTTGCTTTCGTAGTGAGTGATTTTCGTGTGCAAGTTCGGTACTAGTCCCCTCTAGGATTTTCCAGGTGTATATAATCATGTATCTCTCCCTCCTGCATTCCAGGGAATACAGGTTTAGGAACCTCAAGCGCTCCAGTAATTGAGGTGTTTTATCTCCGTTATGCGCGCCGGGAAAGTTCTCTGTACATTCTCTAGGTCGGCAATTTCACCTGCCTTGAAAGGTGCTGTTAGTGTGCAGCAATACTCCAGCCTAGATAGAACAAGTGACCTGAAGAGTGTCATCATGGGCTTGGCCCCCTAGTTTTGAAGGTTCTCATTATCCATCCTGTCATTTTTCTAGCAGATGCGATTGATACAATGTTATGGTCCTTGAAGGTGAGATCCTCCGACATGATCACTCCCAGGTCTTCTGACGTTGGTGTTTTGCTCTATTTTGTGGCCGAATTGTTTTGTACTCTGATGAAGATTTAATTTCCTCATGTTTACCATATCTGAGTAATTGAAATTTCTCATCGTTGAACTTCATATTGTTTTCTGCAGCCCACTGAAAGATTTGGTTGATGTCCGCCTGGAGCCTTGCAGTGTCTGCAATGGAAGACACTGTCATGCAGATTCGGGTGTCATCTGCAAAGGAAGACACGGTGCTGTGGCTGACATCCTTGTCTATGTCGGATATGAGGATGAGGAACAAGATGGGAGCGAGTACTGTGCCTTGTGGAACAGAGCTTTTCACCGTAGCTGCCTTGGCCTTTTCTCTTTTGACGACTACTCTCTGTGTTCTGTTAGTGAGGAAATTATAGATCCATCGACCGACTTTTCCTGTTATTCCTTTAGCACGCATTTTGTGCGCTATTAAGCCATGGTCACACTTGTCGAAGGCTTTTGCAAAGTCTGTATATATTACATCTGCATTCTTTTTGTCTTCTAGTGCATTTGGGCCCCCTTGTCGTAGTGATCCAATATTTGAGACAGACAGGAGCGCCTGTTCTAAACCCATGTTGCCCTGGGTTGTGTAACTGATGGGTTTCTAGATGGGTGGTGATCTTGCTTCTTAGGATCCTTTCAAAGATTTTTATGATATGGGATGTTAGTGCTATTGGTCTGTAGTTCTTTGCTTTTTGCTTTACTTCCCCCTTTGTGGAGTGGGGCTATGTCTGTTGTTTTTAGTAACTGTGGGACGACCCCCGTGTCCATGCTCCCTCTCCATTGGATGGAAAAGGCTCGTGATAGGGGCTTCTTGCAGTTCTTGATGAACACAGAGTTCCATGAGTCTGGCCCTGGGGCAGAGTGCATGGGCATGTCATTTATCGCCTGTTCGAAGTCATTTGGAGTCAGGATAACATCGGATAGGCTTGTGTTAATCAAATATTGTGGCTCTCTCATAAAAAATTCATTTTGATCTTCGACTCTCAGTCTGGTTAGCGGCTTGCTAAAAACTGAGTCATATTGGGACTTGAGTAGCTCACTCATTTCCTTGCTGTCATCTGTGTAGGACCCATCTTGCAGAGCATTTTTGGCAAATTAGGTTAGTTTTATTCCTAGGATGTGACCTGCACCAGTCGACCAACACCCAGGTACCTACGTACTGTTAGGAGAACAGGGATAGCAGGTGTAAGGTGACTAACACCCAGGTACCTACTTACTGGATACCTGGAGTATACCTGGAGAGGGTTTTGGGGGTCAATGCCCCTGCGGCCTGGTCTGTGACCAAGCCTTCTGGTGGATCAGGACCTGATCAACCAGACTGTTACTGCTGGCGGCACGCGAACTACAGCCCGGCTGGTCAGGTACTAACTTTAGGTGTCTGTCCAGCGCCTTCTTGAACACAACCAGAGGTCTATTGGTAATCCCCTTTATGTATGGTGGGAGGCAGTCGAACAGTCGTGGGCCCCTGACACTTATCATGTTGTCTCTTTGCGTACGCATGGCACCCCTGCATTTCATTGGGAGGGGGGGGGGAATGTTGCATCTCATGCCTAATCCTTTGCTTTCATAGGTAGTGATTTTTGTATGCAAATTTGGAACCAGTCCCTCTAGGATTTTCCAAGTACAGTGGACCCCCGCATAGCGACTTTAATCCGTGCAAGAGGGCTGATTGTTATGCGAAATGATCGGTATGCGAATGAATTTTCCCCATAAGAAATAATGGAAATCAAATTAATCCGTGCAAGACACCCAAAAGTATGAAAAAAAAAATTTTACCACATGAAATATACATTTTCCTACACACAAAGAGAAGGATACATGCACAATAGTAGAGTAGTACATGCACAATATATATTGTGCATGTACTACTCTACTAAATGAAGAATAAATGACACTTACCTTTATTGAAGATGCAGCAATGACTGATGAGACACTGTGTCCTGGGAGTGCCTTTTCCTCCTGAGTACTGTAGGTCCTGTTTGGCATTTTCTTCCAGAACAGGCCTTATCACACTGTGTATGCCACTACGATTCTTAAATCTCTCAAACCAACCTTTGCTGGCTTTAAATTCACCAATATGAGCACTAGTTCCAGGCATTTTTCCCTGTTCACCTGGGTGTTAGTTGACTGGTGTGGGTTGCATCCTGGGAGACAAGATTAAGGACCCCAATGGAAATAAGTTAGACAGTCTTCGATGACACTGGCTTTTTTGGGTTATCCTGGGTGGCAAATCCTCTGGGGTTAATTGTTTCTTGGTATTCTCAATAAGCCACACCAACAATGGTGCTACAGCAGCAGCAGCAGCAGCTGACAGTGATACAGCAGCAGCAGACGATGCTACAGCAGCAGCAGACGGTACTACAGCAGCAGCAGACGGTACTACAACAGCAGCAGCAGCAGCTGACGGTGGTACAACAGCAGCAGCAGCTGACAGTGCTACAGCAGCAGCAGACGATGCTACAGCAGCAGCAGACGATGCTACAGCAGCAGCAGACAGTACTACAGTAGCAGCAGCAGCTGACGGTGGTACAACAGCAGCAGCAGCTGTACCACCAATAGTAGCGATGGTTGATTGGGGTTTATTATACAACCTGGCTAGCTCGGAGACACGCACTCCACTTTCATACTTATCAATGATCTTTTTCTTCATCTCTATAGTAATTCTCACCCTTATTGCTGTAGGGTTGGCACTAGAAGCTTTCTTGGGGCCCATGGTCACTTATTTTCCAGAAAAAATCACCAAAAACACTGTAATAATACGAAATGTTCCCATTGTATGCTTGGATGTTACCGCGGAGGCTGGCTGGTAAACAATGCCACTGGCGGCACATGTGAGGCTGGCTAAGGGCGCACATTGGATGCATCTCGGACGAAGAGCGGTGAGCGGGTTTTTGGGCGGTATGCGAGGCAAAAGTTTTGCGATAAAAGCAAGCGGTATGCGGATTGAACGGTATGCGATGCGTACGGTATGCGGGGGTCCACTGTATATATTATCATGTATCTTTCTCGCCTGGATTTCAGGGAATACAAATCAAGGGGCTTCAACCATTCCTAGTAATTTAGGTGCTTTATTGTACCTACATGTGCCATGAAAAGTTTTCTTTATATTCTCCAGGTTTACAATTTCACTTGCCTTGAAAGGGGCAGTTAGTGTACAGCAATGTTCCAGCCTAGAGAGAACAAGCAATTTGAAGAGAATCATCATAGGCTTGGCATCCCTAGTTTTGAAGGTTCTCATTACCCATCCTATCATTTTCCTGGCAGATGTGGTAGATACATTGTTGTCATCTTTGAAAGTGAGGTCCTCTGACATTATCACTCCCGAATCCTTCACATTAATTTTTCGCTCTATTGTGTGGGTGGAATTTGTTTTATACTCTGATACAGTTTTAATTTCCTTGAGTTTTCCATATGAGAGTAATTGAAATTTCTCTTTGTTGAACTTCATATTGTTTTCTGCAGCCCATTTAAAGATTTGGTTGATGTCCTCTTGGAGACTTGCAGTGTCTTTGATGGATGACACTGTCATGCAAACTCGGGTGTCATCCGCAAAGGAAGACACGGTGCTGTGGCTTACATCCCTGTCTGTGTCAGACATGAGGATGAGGAACAGGATGGAAGTGAGTACTATGCTGGGTGAACATTGACAGCAGGTATAAGGTGACTAACACCCAGGTACCTACTTACTGATAGTGAACAGGGACAGCAGGTGTCTTAAGGAAACATGTCCCAATGTTTCCACTCATACCAGGGATTGAACTATGGACCTCACTGTGTGAGCTGAGTGCACTACCAGTCGAGTTACCTGTGCATAGGAGAGAGAAGCTTGTAATAACGTTTTGATCCGACTTGGATCATTTACAAGTCATACTAGCACACAAAAGTGAGGGAGCTAGTACATATAGGAGAAGGGGACAGGGAAGGGACCAAGAGAGGAAGAAGGAAGGAAGTGGAGAAGTAGTTGTAGAGGTAATGCTGGTAGCATAAGTAGTACTAGAAGTAGTGACAGTGACATTGTGTAGTGACTTGACATTGTTTTGAAACTCGTCACAGGAGGAAATCTTAAAAAGCAACAGTACTATGCCATAGGCCGGGTTGGTTAGCTAATGGGGTTTCAGACCTGTAGATTACACGAGGGTTTAAGGCTGCACCATAACTATTAACACCACCAGACAAGGATACTGTAATCCCTAAAACAGGGATTAAGATAAACTCTCAGGATTCATATTGAAAGTAACACAGCTACTGTAACACACAGCTGCTCTAACAGTCAAAGGGATGTTAGGAAGTATTTCATCGGAGAGTTGCCAGGAAGTGGAAGAATCTAGAGAGTGAAGTAGTGGAGGCAGGATCCATACATAGCTTTAAGAGGAAGTACATACAATAGAGCTCATGGAGCAGGGAGTGTGTGTGGACCTAGTAGCAATCAGCGAAGAGGCAGGGCCAAGAGCTGTGGCTCTACCCCAGCAACCACAACTAGCTGAGTACACAGCTGCTGCAACACAACTGGAGTGAAGGACCATTCTCTCAGCTATTTTTTTCATTAAGTACAACCAATCAGGTATTTTCTTGGCACTCTTCCAGAGGTGGCACTCCAGGTCTTGGCACTGTGCCTTCAACTTTACAAAATCTGCCTTAGGGTCAAATGAAAAAAAATACAGGAAAGGCAATCAACTTTTATTATTACTCTTTATTAAATGTTTTAATATGCCATAATAAAAATTAAATAATAAAAAATCATGTCTTTTAATAATTATGGATGTTACTTTTATTCCTTTTTTTTTAAGTTGTATACACCATATGTGTATAAAACTTTACATAGTATGTATACACCATGAGGTGTGTTTCTCTTTTGTGTGTATATGCTGATACTTTATTTTATTACCTAATTTGAGGATTAGAGTGAAGAATATTTTAATTTCTAATTTTTAGGTATTAAAGTATTCTTGATTGGTGGTAGATAGGCTTCAAACTGTGTTGGCTGGTCATATTGAACCTTCCATGACCATGTTTCTCTCTCTCTCTCTCTCTCTCTCTCTCTCTCTCTCTTCTCTCTCTCTCTCTCTCTCTCTCTCTCTCTCTCTCTCTCTCTCTCTCTCTCTCTCTCTCTTTCTATCTTTCTATCTCTCTATCTCTCTATCTCTCTATCTCTCTCTCTCTCTCTCTCTCTCTCTATCTCTCTATCTCTCTCTCTCTCTCTCTCTCTCTCTCTCTCTCTCTATCTCACACACACACACACACACACACACACACACACACACACACACACACACACACACACACACACAAATATTGTACTGTGACTCTTCTTGTTCAAAAAAAAAAAAAAAGATTCACTTAATTTTTTTTTGTTTGCAGGACTCCAAGTTGAAGCACATGGCAGAGCTGCAGCTGTCAGTGGTGTCAGACGCTGAGAGCAAGCAGCAGATCATGGGTCAGATCATGCAGTGGGAGGAGAACCTTGAACGACTCCACTGTGAGCAGTTCCGTCTTCGCTGTTACATGGCCTCATTACAGACCGGTGAACTGCCCAATCCAAAGGTACCCTAGTTTTAATAACCAATTTTTTTTATATACTGCCTCTCCTCACTTAATGACGGAGTTCAGTTCCTAAGACCAGTTTGGTAAACGAATTCGTCGCTAAGCAAGGAGCATATTGTAATGGTAGTGGGTTTGTGTCATCCATCTTTGATATTGTTTTAACCCTTAAACTGTCCACATGTAGATGTACGTTGACATGCGGCAGGCTCCGAACGTAGATCTACTTTTTTTTTTTTTTACATGCTTTCAAATGGGGAAAATCAAGGTCGGAGTGCTACGCACGTGTACGTAGATCTACGTTTGGACAATTTAAGGGTTAATGTCACCTTTTCACCATTTTTAGCATTTTTAGTATATTTTTAAAAGTTTATACAGTAGTGTACTGTATATCGTAATAAACAGAATAGAGGAAATTAGCTCAAATATACATTATTTAGGTCTGCCTACTGGTCAGAGAACTCGTTGTAAGTCCAAGTTGACAGTAAATGAGTATGTCACTAAGTAAGGAGAAACTGTTTATGTTTTGTGCCTGAAAAGAAGTTGAAAGAATCTTGAATGTTTCTTACAGCTGTTATATCTTCATTACATGAGATTACAGTAGTACATATATTTTAACTTTCACTGTACAGTATTTCTTATTTTCTTGCTGTACAGTGTTGAAGATGGTGACCAGCATTTTACAGAAACAGAGTAAACAGTGTGCTCTCCTGTCTTTAGTATTAAGTGAATAGTAAAGTGTTGTTATACTGTAGTCTCCAGTAGTCATGTCAATTATTGCAACACATCTTTGCTTATTGCAACACATCTTCACTTATTTCAACATTTCACTTATTGCAACACTTCTTCACTTGTTACAACACACCTTTTAAACACTTTTGTAAGTCTGCCATCCTGCATCTGTTCTTTCTTTGTGTATGAAATTTGAGATTAGTTTGTTTTGCATGAAGACAATTACTCTAACTTTTAGTCTGATTTTTTTTTTCCACTTCCATTTTTTGACATTAGGAGGATATATTTTAGCATTTCTGTTTCATTTGCTTTGTAGGTTTGATGTCCCTATGACTCACGAAATTGTAATGACACAATTGCAAACAAACCATACCACATGTGGGGTTTGAACCTGCGATCAGAGAGCCTCAAAACTCCATACTGTCGCGTTAGCCACTGGGCCAGCTAGCTTAATAAGATTCATCCAACTAGGTATATTTCTACACCATAGGAAGGTTAGCTAGCTGGCCCAGTGGCTAATGTGACGGTCTGGAGTTCTGAGGCTCTCTGATCATGGGTTCAAACCCCGCCCATGGTATGGTTTGGTGTCCCTAATAGATGCACAAGTGATATAACTTATTGAAAATAAAGAAAATCAACCAATAGTTTTAGCCTTTACACAGCTTGTCAGCCATCTCCCACCAAGGCAGGGTGACCCAAAAAGAAAGAAAATCCCCAAAGAGAAAATACTTTCATCATCATTCAACACTTTCACCTTGCTCACACATAATCACTGTCTATGCAGAGGCACCCAGATACAACAGTTTAGAAGCATATAAAGATATATAACATACCCCTCCAAACTGCCAATATCCCAAACCCCTACTTAAAGTGCAGGCATTGTACTTCCCATTTCCAGTACTCAAGTCCGGCTATATAAAAATAACCAGTTTTCCCGAATCTCTTCACTAAACTTTACCCTGCTCACACTCCAACAGCTCGTCAGGTCCCAAAAACCATTCCGTCTCCATTCACTCCTATCTAACACGCTCACACATGCTTGCTGGAAGTCCTAGCTCCTCACCCACAAAACCTCCTTTACCCCCTCCCTCCAACTTTTTTGAGGACGACCCCTACCTCGCCTTCCTTTCCCTACAGATTTATACACTCTCCAAGTCATTCTACTTTGATCCATTCTCTCTAAATGACCAAACCACCTCAACAACCCCTCCTCAGCCCTCTGACTTATAATTTTAGTAACTCCACACCACCTCCTAATTTCCACACTTCAAATTCTCTGCATAATATTTACACCACACATTGCCTTTAGACAGGACATCTCCACTGCCTCCAACTGCCTCCTCACTGCAGCATTTGCAACCCAAGCTTCACACCCATATAAGAGTGTTGGCACCACTATACTTTCATACATTCCCTTCTTTGCCTCCATGGATAATGTAAATGTATACATATACGTAAATAGTCCATTAGTGTCTTACTGACCTACTGTATCTACAGTTGTTCATTGATATTAAGTCTTGCTTAACTAACAGAATGTTGAGGCCTAGTCCCTGGACCCATTGTGTTCTCTAATATTTTGACTAGTATGTCTAGGATGGGTATGGGGTGACTACTACTCACAGAAAGGGTTGAAGATGACTGCTACCTACAAGATGGGTAAGAGGTGACTGTCATCCATGTGAGTGTAGAGAGCATAATAAAACAACCAGAGTGAACTACTTATCAAACCATAGAACAGGTAGGGTTTGAACTCTAGGCCAGTACATATGCCACTCTTTATCTTTATCTAAGTCAGCTGGTGTGTTGGCAGTCGTGTTATTATGATTTCGTGAGTCGTGAGAGTGAACTTGTCATACCTTATCCCCACTTGTTTTCAGGGTCTGCTAACGCATGTGTCTCGCACCACCAAAACAGTTCTTAATCGTCTTGGGGTATTTACTGTCAGCAGCTTCCATGCATACATATGTGCCAGAAGTCCTTCCCTGCTCAATAATCTTCTCGCAGGTAGAGGAGCAACCAAACGCAGGTATGTTATACATTTCTTTCAATGCAAGTGTGTACTGAGAATTGTTCAGCAATCAAATTAAAAAGATGTGACAGTATGAATTTAATAAAACTTCAGTTCTGAGTTTGCAGAATTGAAGTGAGTAAAGTTCAGACTGAAAGTTGATAGACCATACTGAGGAAGTGAACAAGAGAAATGAGCAACAGGGTAGATAAATGTGTTGAGCTACGGTAATGGTGTGTAGAGAAACTGGCTGGTTAAATTATGCATAGTCAAAAAGGGGGAATAGAATGGGTAAAATTAACATTACATTTTTACACGTGGGATAATGCCTCATTTTGTGTTTGCTTTCCTCATCTCCAATACGGGTTACTGCTGTCTTTCATAAACAAGAAGATTATATGCGTCTCTCAATACATTACTGTATGCAAAACAACCACGGGGAGAGTTGAATGAGAGCTCTAGACCTTTCTTGTTGCAATCAACACATTCTAAGGAACTTGCAGTGTTGCAGAAAAAAGGAGGAATTCCAAACAAATATGTTCAGAGGAAGCGTCTTTTATTTTTTTTTTTTTTCAACAAACTGGGGCAGGGTGACCTAAAAAGAAAAATGAAAGTTTTTCTTTTTAAATTTAGTAATTTATACAAGAGAAGGGGTTTGGTTCATGACACCTCTAATGAAAAGCAAACAAGCTTATCTTAATTTTATAATTTGCCAAAAATCTTGAAGCTTTCCATGCCTTACATTCTAGTTCTCTTTGCATATTGATCTGAAAAATGTGTGGATAGGGTTGATGTGGCACAACCAGGCCTAATCAGATTTAGTGAGGTTTATACAGTAAAAAAACACATCCATTACAGGTAGCAAAAATACTGTGTAAATCAATTTGATCTTACTGTATTCTTAATTCTGTTTGCTAATGCTTGTTGACCTGGAAATATGTATAGGAGGGAGAAGGGGTTGATGTGGATGGCTGAGTGGTTCTTGTATTTATGTGGATACAGAGTTGTCAGTAGTTGATGGTTGTACTGGGGGTATGTAAATGGTGAAATCCTTCACCACACTGGGCTGTAATTTTCTCCAGCCTTCATTTATTGTTTGAGGAACTTCATCCCATGACACTTTTATGTGGGTTTTTGCATCTGCAATGCTAAATTGGCACCAGAACTCTGGCACTCCAGTTGTTAATTTGTCGTCTATTCCTGCAGTGAGACTTCATGCATTTGTGTGTGTAGTGGGACTAAATGTCTTAATCACTCATCAACCCAGTGGTTGTATCAGATGTTGCACTTGGTCGTTAAAACAAAGCATTTACATTTGAGGGATGCATATGGTAATTATCAATTGTGAAGAGAGGAGAACTTTGAATGAAAGGTTCTCTTGGTGCAGGTAGTTTTCTCTGAAGGAATAAAATAATGCATAAACCACTTGTCAAAATGGGCTTCGCTCATCCATGCTGACTTGTTGGACCACCAAATAACAGGCAGTCCCCAAAAGCCATCGCCAATTTTACAGCATGATTGACCTGTCAGTTTCCACACAACTTGGACTTCTGTATAATATTCCAGTCTGATTTATTGGAAATGCGATCCCTGGACACACGATATATGATTCTAGTAGAAATATATGAGAAGTCATAGAATAAACCCATTTAACAGACAAATAGAGGGGGGGGGGTAACGGATGACTGGTGGATAGAGATAGAATTGTTTTGCCGTGATCATAACAGTAAAGGAGAATTCTGTAAACAACAGATGTTGTCTGTTGTCTGTGAATCAACTGACCTAATGGATTTTGTCCTATATTTCTGAAGTCCATTAAATTGAGTCTGCTGAATAAGGTGTACTATATATGCTACATGTTGTATGTGGGGAGTTATTGCTCTGTCATCTTGCTTCACTTCTGAGAGAAGGAATATAGGATATAAGAGTCATTCTTTCGATTGAAATTCACTTGTTTCAGGGCACCAATGCTATCCCGCAGCAATAGTGTCTCATCTCGGCGGTCGCTACAGATGCAACAGCAGCTTGAAGGGGAGAAACAGTACAAGGTTAACCTTCCAGACAATCAGGTGAGTTATGAGCTATGCTTTCTCATAAGCTATTAAGTTTATTTAGTATTACATTTATCTTCTTTCTTTCTTTCAACACACCGGCCGTATCCCACCGAGGCAGGGTGGCCCAAAAAGAAAAACAAAAGTTTCTCTTTTTAAATTTAGTAATTTATACAGGAGAAGGGGTTACTAGCCCCTTGCTCCCGGCATTATAGTCGCCTCTTACAACACGCATGGCTTACGGAGGAAGAATTCTGTTCCACTTCCCCATGGAGATAATAGGAAATAAACAAGAACAAGAACTAGAAAGAAAATAGCAGAAAACCCAGAGGAGTGTGTATATATATGCTTGTACATGTATGTGTAGTGTGACCTAAGTGTAAGTAGAAGTAGCAAGACGTACCTGAAATCTTGCATGTTTCTTTCATCTTTCTTTCAACACATCAGCCGTATCCCACTGAGGCGGGGTGGCCCAAAAGGAAAAACGAAAGTTTCTCCTTTTACATTTAGTAATATATACAGGAGAAGGGGTTACTTGCTCCTGGCATTTTAGTCGCCTCTTACAACACGCATGGCTTACGGAGGAAGAATTCTGATCCACTTCCTCATGGAGATAACAGGAAATAAACAAGAACAAGAACTAGTAAGAAAATAGAAAAAACCAGAGGGGTGTGTGTGTATATATATATATGCTTGTACATGTATGTGTAGTGTGACCTAAGTGTAAGAAGAAGTAGCAAGACGTACCTGAAATCTTGCATGTTTATGAGACAGAAAAAAGGACACCAGCAATCCTACCATCATGTAAAACAATTACAGGCTTTCATTTTACACTCACTTGGCAGGATGGTAGTACCTCCCTGGGCGGTTGCTGTCTACCAACCTACTACCTAGGTGTAGTAAATATATGTAATATTAAATTAGTGTAGCATTAAATTGACATAGTATTAAATTTATACAATATTATATTACACACAGTAGTCTCTCACATAACATTATAGTTACATAAAATCTGTGTTACTTGAACTGGAGAAAATATTTGAAAAATAGGGTTATATCGTTGGAACCTATAAAAAAGCCATATAAATTACCTTCATTTTCTCTGGTTGTTGCTACTTGTTGATATGCAAGTGAATGTGGAATTGGTTAATGTGACCCTGTACATTACCTGTACAAACATGTGGCAGGCAGTATGAGCCACTAGCACCTTTGCCTAACACCATCAGCTACCACCCTCATGTACAATTTTTAAGGTTTGGAGGAAGCCAGCTGTTGAATCAGTTTGGTATGTATTTTCTCCACAGAGGATGGGCAAGGCAGTCCTTCCCCAGAGACTGGGCAAGGGTCAGTACAGCTCTGCTGTGGTGTCTCGTAGCTCCCCAAACACAGCAACACCAGCTGCTGTGTCAGTGAATATCATAACTTCACTACATAACTTCCTTGTTTAGTACATTTTTCACAGTTTATCAACACTTGCCAACATATTCAACAATGATATAAATACAACTTAGGGAAATAAATGACTGCTAAAGGCACAGAAATGCATAATTGCAGTGCAGTTACAGGTTGCTAGAATTCACTGCCTCCTATTATAATTGCAGTGCAGTTACAGGTTGCTAGAATTCACTGCCTCCTATTATAATTGCAGTGCAGTTACAGGTTGCTAGAATTCACTGCCTCCTATTATAATTGCAGTGCAGTTACAGGTTGCTAGAATTCACTGCCTCCTATTATAATTGCAGTGCAGTTACAGGTTGCTAGAATTCACTGCCTCCTATTATAATTGCAGTGCAGTTACAGGTTGCTAGAATTCACTGCCTCCTATTATAATTGCAGTGCAGTTACAGGTTGCTAGAATTCACTGCCTCCTATTATAATTGCAGTGCAGTTACAGGTTGCTAGAATTCACTGCCTCCTATTATAATTGCAGTGCAGTTACAGGTTGCTAGAATTCACTGCCTCCTATTATAATTGCAGTGCAGTTACAGGTTGCTAGAATTCACTGCCTCCTATTATAATTGCAGTGCAGTTACAGGTTGCTAGAATTCACTGCCTCCTATTATAATTGCAGTGCAGTTACAGGTTGCTAGAATTCACTGCCTCCTATTATAATTGCAGTGCAGTTACAGGTTGCTAGAATTCACTGCCTCCTATTATAATTGCAGTGCAGTTACAGGTTGCTAGAATTCACTGCCTCCTATTATAATTGCAGTGCAGTTACAGGTTGCTAGAATTCACTGCCTCCCACCTTCACTACACACTACTATTACCTCATATTTTTTTTTTTTGAAACTCAGAGTTCCTCCATGGCACCTCCAGTATTACTAGTATTCATCTTGGGTGATGAAAAGATAAATTAGTTAAGTAACACACTGATGAGTTGGTATTGGATGAATACACATGGCAACTGGCCACATCTGAGATTATTTACATCAACAGTGAAACTCTCCCATAGGCCAGCCAAGGCACTGTACCTTAGGGAGCTTTCTAATAAGAATTGGCATGTGAGATGGACAGAGGATTATTTTACACAAATATACTGCATGTTATGGTGTGCAATACCTTTCTTCCACATGTAATTTTATAACAAAAATAAAATTTCATTAGTATTACATTTGATAACTTGCAATGTAAACATGTTACAGTATTAAATTTATAAATAAAACTGTATTGATTTGTTTTATATATCAGCACTTTATCCTGTACGTATTTCATAAATCTGTGATAGTAACATATGCAGCTCTTATTTTTTGACTGTGAAGAAACACTGTAAATCTTTTAAGCTATAAACCCTTTCAGGGTCCGTCCCGTAGATCTACGGCTTTACGTTCAGGGTCCAAACCGTAGATCTACGTCATGAGCTCAGCTCACTCTGATAAACTGTGAGTGGTACATTTGGGCCTAGATATGAGCGAATACATCTATGTGGTATGTGTGCACCACATAAAACAGATCCTGCAGCACACTGTATATAATGAGAGAAAAAACTGAAATCATGATTTTTCGATTAAAACAGCAACTTTGCAGTGTTTTTTCATATGTTTTTTATAGTTGTATTTGCGATTTCTTGGTCTCAATTGATAGAATGGAAGACATATTACAGAAATAGAGATGATTTTGATTGGTTTTAGCACTGGAAATGGCTTGAAACTGAGCTCAAAGTAGCAGAAATGTTAAATTTTTGCCGATGTTCAAGAGTAAACAAACGACCTCACACGTCTAATACACGCCAGCTGGTGGGTCTAATATACATTCACAAATATGGTGATGATATTTATACAATTATTGCAGTATTGCATAACAGTAAATCTTCTATTTTTTGGTGTGAATAAAAATTCATTATGTGAATAAAAAATCAAAATGGAATTTATTTGTAAAGCCTCAAAACGTAACTAATGAACAGAGGAAATGTTAGTTTAGTTCCAGGAATACCTACATTGTTTATTCTGGACCCTATTTTGAAATTGGAATATTTTGAACTTTTGTGTTAAATTGGCCAAATTAACAATTTCCGATCGCTTTAATTTGTAGTTGAAACAGTTGACTTGCTGATTTCTTGTGCTCAATCGATAGAATAGAAGTAATACTAGTGAAATAGCTAAGAATTTGGTTGGCTGGAATAATGTAATTGGCCTAAAATGGGAGTCAAAGTTGGCAAAACCGCCGATTCGTAAATATCGTTGACACATCAAAATTCGCGAGAGCATAATTTCGTCAATTTTCCATCAATTTTCATACTTTTTGCTTTATTACCTTCACAAAAAGATTCTCTACCATTTCATAAGAAAAAATAACAAATTTTTTTTTTGAAAATTCTTGGACACTGGGGCACCACTTCAGATTTGGGCCTTGGACCCTGAAGGGGTTAAAGGTCCATTAATAAGGTACTTTAAATATATATATAAAAATTTTGCACATTTTTGTACAGTTGTCACAAAGTTACTGGTTTATATTGTTTTTTCTTATTGTTGTCTATAATTTTTTGCTACTGTACGTAAAAAAAATTTAGCCCTATGATTTTCAAACTAGCGCTTTGTGATATTCATTATCATTTACTCTGAACCTCAGATAGTGAGCATCAGCCTGAAGGACTCCATGAGTGTAGAGGAGTTCCTGGTGGCAGCCTGTGGACGCAAGAACCTCAACCCCATGGAACACTTTGTTCGTGTTAAAAAGCGACGAGAGCTGGAAGAGACTAACTATTTTGTTCCACATCGAACTGACCTCATAGAGAACTATGTAGGTTCTTAGTAGTTATTCTAGAACTGTGTAGGTTCTTAGTTATTCTAGTATTTTGTATGTTCTTAGTTGTTATCCAACAATTGTGTAGGTTCTTAATGGTTATTCAAGAACTTTACCTGTTTATAGATGTACAAAAAATGTTGATGTTTTAATAATTACTTTGTTTTCAGCTCATTCAAATTCAAATCTTTATCCAAAAAAATGTTACAAGCAAATCTCCAATTCCCGAGATCAAAATAATGCAATTGTAAACAACTCTCGGAAGGGATGGGGATCAAATACTTGCCAAGCCAGTGCTAAAGCTTATAGGCCAGTGTGCTATCCACTGTACCATGGAGGCCTAATGAGATTCATCCAGGCAGAGGTGTGATGCAGAGGTGCACACAAGTTGTAGCCTTTTAGAAGTTCATTTTATGCTGTGGGTTCAATTCCTGTCCATTTCGTGGTTTGTTTGCATTCATGTTATGACAGTTTCATGAGTTGTACACCGCAGTTCAAAGAATACCTAAGCTGTAAAGGAAATTATTTAAAAATAATTCTGAGATTAACTGATTAACTGGGCACTCAGACTGTAATTTCTGGAATAAATATATCATAATTTATTGAGGTAATGTGTGCCCTTTATTTTACTGTGTTAACTTTTTTCATGTAATATAATCAGCATTATTTTGGACCATTATATCAGTTATTATAATGAAATGTAGTAGTGTTTCTAGTTCTTTGCATTAAATCAGTTCACAAATGTATTTAGGAAAATAATGAGTACTTATAAATTAAAAAATTACCAGTAATTACAATTGCATGTATAGTAGTCATATGTCTAGCAAAGGTGTGACCAATGCTGTCCAACAGCAGCAAAAGTTTGCTACTGAGGTAAACAAGTGTATTCTTCACTAATTTATATGTGTGCTGATTCCAAATCTGAAGTCAGAATTGACTCTGAACATCAGTATTTTTAGTTACAGAATATATATTCTTGGACAATTTTTATTAAAAAAATAAAGCACATTACATATCATATTTTGCAGCTTGTAAGACTTGCTCTTCTTTTTTTCTGAAATCTGACCCTCAAAATCACCATGTCATACATGGTGAAGGTCAGGTTTGAGGTCCAGCTTGGGAGTTACGAATAAGGCCATTTAACCCTTTCAAGGTCCGTGCCATACTTCTACAGCTTTGAGTTGAGGGTCCAAATCGTAGATCTATGCCATGAGCTCAGCTCACTCTGATAAGCTGAAAGCGGTAAATTTGGGCCTAGATAAGAGAGAATACATCTATGTGGTATGTGCGCACCACATAAAACAAATCCTGCAGCACACAGTGCATAATGAGAGAAAAAAAACGAGACTACAATTTTCGATTAAAACAGTGACTTTGCAGTGTTTTTTCATACATTTTTTATAGTTGTATTTGCAATTTCTTGGTCTCATTTGATAGAATGGAAGATATATTACAGAAATAGAGATGATTTTGATTGGTTTTAGTAATGGAAATGGCTTGAAACTGAGCTCAAAATAGCGGAAATGTTAAATTTTTGCCAATGTTCAAGAATAAACAAATGACCTCACACATCTAATACACGCCAGCGGGTGGATCTTATATATGTTCACAAATGTGCTGATATTATTTATACAATTATTACAATATTGCATAACAGTAAATCTTCTATTTTTTGGTTTGAATAAAAAATAAAAATGGAATTCATTTGTAAACCCTCAAAACGTAACTAATGAACAGAGGAAATGTTAGTTTAGTGCCAGGAATGTCTGCATTGTTTATTCTGGACCCTATTTTGAAATTGGAATATTTTGAACTTCGCATTAAATTGGCCAAATTACCAATTTCCGATCACTTTATTTTGTAGTTGATACAGTTGACATGGTGATTTCTTGTGCTCAATCGATAGAATAGAAGTAATACTAGTGAAATAGCTAAGAATTTGGTTGACTGGAATAATGTAATTGGCCTAAAATGAGAGTTAAAATCGGCAAAATCAGCACTGCGTAAATATCACTGACACATCAAAATTTGCGTGAGCATAATTTTGTCAGTTTTTCATCAAATTTCGTACTTTTTGTTTTATTACCTTCAGAAAAAGATTCTCTACCATTTCATAAGAAAAATAACAAAAGCTTTTCTTGAAAATTCTTGGACCCTGGTGCACACTTTGAAATTTGGCCTCTGGACCCTGAAAAAGTTAACAATGAGAACGATTAAAAAAATAAATAAACAAGGGATATTTAGTAAATTTAGGTGTGTCCTTAATGACAGTGCATCGTATGTGCTGCAAAATCCAGTAATTGACATACGTATTTTCAAGCTGTTCATTTGTCCCAGCTCATCAGCAGTACTTAAAATATATGAAAATTTCATTTCCAATATTTCTATATCTAAAAATCCTTACATGTTGGGTTAATTCTGATTTTAGATTCAAAATCAAAATGCCTGAATTAGTCTAAAACACATTTGTAACTTAGTAAGAAGTTAATGATTATCCAATTTAACAATCTCTTATTGTTTTTTGTACTCATGTTACTGTTGTTGTGGCAAGACAGAGGCTGAATGAATGACAGTGAATGTTCCTTTTTTTTTTTTTTTTTTGTGGGTCACTACCTTGGTGGGAGACAGATGGTGTGTTAAAAAATATATAAATTGCAGTTAATTTAAAAGCAGGCGAAATGAACATGAAACATTTCTGCTGTAAAGCAAATATGGAATTACTAATCATTTGATTTGTTATTATTTTAATCAGAGGAAAGTGCTAAAGACTTAAGTTATATAGTCCCTGGGAATGGGAGGCATTCAGGTTCAGTCCTAGGAAGGGGAGAATAAGTCTAGTTACCTTGGTGAAGGCTGCCTCAACAGCATCAGGACACCGCAGAGACCTTGCAGGGAATGGGGTTTACTAGTAGAAGCAAGAAGGCAAGAATTGAGCAGCATTGAAGCAGTCCTTCTGGCCCATGCTGGGAGGGTCCCTCTGGAATCCAACCCTTCTCACTCATAACTAGTAGTTAATTGATGAAGTTGTTCTTGCTTCTACTAGTGAATCCCCTCCCCCGCAACATCTTTAAGATCTTCCACATCACCTTTGACAGTGTTTAAGACTCCATTCTCATCAAGGCACCTCCCATGAGGAGTCCTGTCATCAGAGATTTTCTTATATCTTATCCATACTGTAGATATTAATGCTCATCAGTCTTGCTGTACACATCTTTCACCTCATAGGAGATGACTTGATTCTGGAGTTAGGGTGAACCAAGAAACATAGAAGCACTTTCACCATCACTCACTCTATCACTGTCTTGCAAGAGGTCTGCCGACATTAGCTCAGATGCCCTTCCAAATTGCAGTATTCCCACCTCTCCTTCAGAGTGTAGGCATTGTACTTGCAACTTCCAGGACTCAAGCCTGGCTAACTGGTGTCTCGGAATCCCTTCATAAATGTTCTCTTGCTATTATTATCCTACAGTGGGGTGCTTTGATGCCTGCTGGTGAATAGTTCCTGATCCAAGGAATTGGAGATGTGTATCTCGTGGATTCAAGCTGTATAATCCCTATGGATTTTGAACTTTTTCTTGAATATAATAATTATAATAATACTCTTTAGCATAATTAAATACTCTGAAGTATCTTACACATTATTACATGCAGGGTGAGCACTAAAATTCTAAATCCATTAAGGTCATTCAATGACTTGGAAGATAATCTAGCTTGATCCAAGGAAGATAATTGTGCCTCTAGTTCCTTGGATCAAGAGCACTACATCTTTTTTTCAACACACTGGCCGTATCCCACCAAGGCAGGGTGGCCCAAAAAGAAAAACGAAAGTTTCTCTTTTAAATTTAGTAATTTATACGGGAGAAGGGGTTACTAGCCCCTTGCTCCCGGCATTTTAGTCGCCTCTTACAACCCGCATGGCTTACAGAGGAAGAATTCTGTTCCACTTCCCCATGGAGATAAGAGGAAATAAACAAGAACAAGAACTAGAAAGAAAATAGAAGAATACCCGGAGGGGTGTGTATATATATGCTTGTACATGTATGTGTAGTGTGACCTAAGTGCAAGTAGAAGTAGCAAGACATACCTGAAATCTTGCATGTTTATGAGACAGACAAAAGACACCAGCAATCCTACCATCATGTAAAACAATTACAGGTTTTCGTTGTACACTCACTTGGCAGGACGGTAGTACCTCCCTGGGAGGTTGCTGTTTACCAACCTACTACCTAGGAAGAGCACTACATATTCTGTTATTATTAATTTTCCTCCAATACATTCTTCTCTGTTGTCTTAGACTTGTTGAAATATTAATTTCAGTGGGTGACAAAATATGATTCCATCTTTATGTCCATACACCAAAATAGGCCGTCCAATTCATTCTAATGAGGACACTAGAGCACTCCAGGATGATTTGAATAGACTGATGCAATGGTCGGAGAAGTGGCAGATGCAGTTTAATATTGACAAATGCAAAGTTCTAAATGTTGGACAGGTAAATAACCATGCCACATATAAACTAAATAATGTAGATCTTAATACTACTGATTGCGAAAAGGATTTAGGAGTTTTGGTTAGCAGTAATTTAAAACCAAGACAACAGTGCATTAGTGTTCGCAATAAAGCTAACAGAATTCTTGGCTTCATATCTAGAAGTACAAATAATAGAAGTCCTCAGGTTGTTCTTCAACTCTACATATCCTTGGTTAGGCCTCATTTAGATTATGCTGCTCAGTTCTGGTCACCGTATTACAGAATGGATATAAATGCTCTGGAAAACGTACAGAGGAGGATGACAAAGATGATCCCATGTATCAGAAATCTTCCCTATGAGGATAGACTGAGGACCCTGAATCTGCACTCTCTCAAAAGGCATAGAATTAGGGGGATATGATCGAGGTGTGTAAATGGAAAACAGGAATAAATAAAGGGGATGTAAATAGCGTGCTGAAAATTTCCAGCCAAGACAGGACTCACAGCAGTGGTTTCAAGTTGGAAAA